GCAGAGAGGAAGTATAACATGATTTTAGGGCTCGCATTTCAATTCTACTGCATTTTTATGGGACAAGCAGAGACCCAGCGCCTGGAGTTATTAGGTTAGTATCTAAAATGGGTTCAGCGCTGTGAGTCTTATTGTTTAAAATGAATGAGATGGTCCTCTGCCGCCTTCTTTTCTCCTCCCTTGGGATGAGTGGATTGAGGCAAAGCCCCCAGAGACGAGCTGAAGGAATCCTGGCGCTCTGATTAGTTTTGTTCCCCTGCTTAATTGTACAGCTTCCTTTCTCTCACCACTGATAGCCAAAGTGGCTCTGTGTCTCCCCCCACCTTCCCTTGCTTTAGGAACAAGATGATCACAATGCAGCCTTGTGAATCAATTTTCTCTCTGTGCTGATGAAAGTGTAATTCATTCTTAATCAAGCAGCCTTGCTGCTGCAGGCTTCATGCCGGAATACATTTAGTTACCCTCCCATCACTTTGGGAAACTATCCCCCAAAAGGACTTTTAGAGGAGAGCTGGAAGGAGAGTTGGCAGTGCGCCTCGTGCTGTGGTTTTCCAGCAGGGGGCACTCTCAGGAACGATGCTGGTGGAGGCTTTGTAGCTGGAAGCCTTCCTCCGCTGGCAGGGCAGCAGGGAAATGTTTGTCACAGGTGCCTTCCAGGCTTGCTTTCTCCAGACCCTGGGGCCGTTTCTCAGGAGTACCTTAATGGCCCACCCAAAATCCTCAGGTAGCAGTGAGTAGGAACAGTTGAGGCTGCAGATGGCATGCCTGGGTTAGAGAGTGCCGGCTGGGTACCAGTTACTTTTAACCAGCCGCCTCTGTCTTTTTAAGTAGACAGATGTGTCTCCTGAATCTGAACTTGTTTAGATCAGGTAGATGTGTCTGTTTTTGTCACACCACACACAATTTGGGGAGCGTAAGGAGGCACAGCTCTGCCAGAGTGGAACTCTCCCAAGTTCTCCCCTGCCCTCTCACAGCCTGCTGGCTGTCACAAACAGCTGGCAGTTTTATGGAGAGGTGGGCAGGGGGAAAGGGACTCTGTCAGGGCTGAGTCTTGATGTTGGGCAAGAAGGAAGAGCCAGGCCCCAACAAGTGGATCAGCTGTGAAGATGAACAGTAAGATAGCAACAAAGCCTCACAGATCTGCCCCAGAGGAAGAAAAGGAAGTTCATCTTCTCAGAATGGAATTGGATTAGTGACAGACTTGAGCAGCCTGTTCAGTTGAGAGAGAACTTAATTCCCCCTGTGTTATTCACGAGGCTGATTCTAATCAGATGTGAAGAGACAGCTGGAGGAGAGCAGTGGGTCAGCCAGTGCCTGGTGCAGAGGGTTCATGTTCTTGTAGGCAGGAGCGCTTTGGGTTGAAGACTCTGAGCAGGGCCCTGGGGTTTATAGCCTGCCCAAGGAGCTGGACCTGGCTGCAGGACTCCCATGGTTGGACCTCGTCTAGATTCAGTGAGAGTTTTGAAGTAGAGCGCGTGGCAGATGTCACTGGTTACGCTCACCAGAGCTTGGCCCACTCATCTTCAGAAGGATTCAAAGGCAGTTGACCAGACTTGGTAGGTCCCAGACTGGTGGGACTGACTGGCATTTTTGTTTGGAATTCGGAGAGGGGATGGGACTCACCAGAGTGGCTTCAGGGCTCTCAACTCACAGTGCAACACAGGACAAGGGAGGGCCTTCATGGGACTCTCTCCACAGCACCTTCTGGCTCTAGCAAACAGGTGTTGCTGAGCGGTGTAGAGGGAGCCGGGCTGGTCGCTGAGCTGGAAGATGTACCTAACAATGGCGGGCCTGCACACCTTAGGGTATGAGAGCATCGCAGGGGAACCAGGAAACTTGTTGGCCGGTTTTCATGTGTTTAAAAAGAAGATGCGAAGGCAGAGTTGATTTTATGAAGGGCTAGCTTTTTGCCATTTCTTCTGAGCTTTTGCCTGTTCCTTTGTAAATACTTCCTGCCTGTGGCTGTGCTGCAAATTCGGCAGCCAGTGAGCTTTCTAGAAGCAGCAGATGGTGAAAGATCCACAGGTGAGGAGCCTGCCCACTGGAGGGGTGAGGCAGTGCCCAGGCAGGACGTGCACGTGGCAGAGCTGTTTGCATGCCCCATGGGGAGGCTTCCCAAGCTCTCTGTAGAAAAACTGCCCGAGGGCGAATGGCTCCCCAGAGCTTCTACCTGCAGGAAAGAAGCCCAGGGACTCCCCTTGTCTCACTGCCTGCCTTCCTCACCTGCTGGGGTCTGAGATAAAGGATACGCAGAGGTGGAAGCAGAGCCATGGGCGTGGCTGGGAGGGCCACTCCAGCAGCAGGGAGGACCATTGTGCAGTCAATTCTGACTCTGGAGTTCCTGTGGGGATTGGAAACCACAGGAATTGTACAAGGAGGGTAAAGGGTGGGCCAAGCAGTGGTGGCAGAAGGCTCCCAGGGCCCTTGGGCAGCAGCCCTTGCTGACCAGCGCAGCCAAGTCTCAGCCGCCTCGGTCTGGCGGGTCTGCCTTCCCTCTGACCACCTCAATGCCTTCTGGAAGACTGTGGCTCTCTCTCCTCCTGCCCGCTGGCTGTGGTGCCTTCCTAATTCTGTGTGGGCAGACTGATTTCCCTCTACCTTTCCTTGTGGCTGAGGCGAAGTTCCTCCTCTTGCAAGATAAGAGGTGGGGCTCAGGTGCTGCAGCGCAGCTGGGTGGAGCTCAGGAAGCAACCCGCCCACCTGAGAGCATTCTGCATCCTAATCAGCACATGCTCGAGTCACTGGAATCTGGTGCTGCTGGCACTGCCAGAACCCTCCCCTGGCACCTCGAGGGGACAGCCACCATGCTCCTCGGGTGGAGGATCCAGGAATTATTGGAGCCAACATTGTACAAATGGCCAGGAGCCTCTCAAGGCCCCCACAGCCTGGGCTCCCTGCCTGGGTAAGTGGCCAGAGGCCTCATGGGGGCATCACTTGGCCTGCCTGGTAGGCGTGGTGGCCAGCACCGTATGCGACCCTGCTGTTGCCTGCACCCCTTCCTAACGAGCACCCTGTTGCCCCCTGGAAGGAGAGGAGCCAGGGCTGGGGAGGGGAGAAACGTGACACTGCTATTAGCAATACGGCTGCCGAGTTCCACCACGCGCCAGGCGCAGTGCTGAGCGCATCACACCCCACTCCACAAGGAAAGGGCTACCATCGCTCCCGCTTCACAGTGAGGAACTGAGGCCAGAGGGGAGCAAGCGACCTGCCCAGGGCCACACAGCTGGTTAGTGGCCCAGCTGGGCCTTGTACCAGGCAGCTGACTGTGCCTATGTCTGACCGAAAGTGGCTGTTAATCTCAGAAACCTGAGTGGAGACACTGGGCTTACATCCTTGCATTTAAACCCTCTCCCATTTTTGCCGCGGTAGTTTTCTGGCAGCTAAATCTCTTCCTCCTTTCTTCCTTAGTGACCATCCTGGTTCATGTCATCACAGGGCACATAACTCCTGGTGCTTCTCCAATGACATTTAGGGAGAAGCCCGTCCTGATGCAGCTCCCTTCCACAGGGAGTTCCACTTAGGCAAAAAAGCGCTTTCTGTTCCCATCAGAACCGGGCTTTCCAGAGGGCTCTGAAGTGAGTTCTGCTGAAGACAGCAGCTCAGCTGCCTCCCCACATTCCGCTTGTTAGCTGGGAACTTCAAGGCCAAAAGATTTGGCAGGATTTACAGAGTCGCTCTCAAGCTGTCTCATTCTGAGCACACTAATGCTGCCTGTCTTCTGATGGTGAAGTGGTCGGTTTGGGGTCTCCCTCCCCTTTATGGAGCCACCGATAGGACTGAGGACTTTTCACATGCAGACGAGGGGTCAAGAGCATGGGCCAGACCATCTTGCCTGCCCTGCCCCATGGCGACCTCCAGAGGAAAGAGGCTCAGAGAGGTCAAGGCGGTCGGCGGTGAGCTGAAGAGTGAGCTCCCGGACCTTCTCAGCCCCGTGGGGAGCTCTTGCCTCTCCCACACACCTCACTGTTTACTTATCATCATAGCCAGCGTACCGGTCACTCAACAAATACTGTTTGAGCTCCTAATCGGCACACAGCACTGAGCCAGGTATTTGGAGGTATGAAGATGAACGCTGCAGACTCCCGGCCCTCCACCCTGAGCTCCTGCGGGAAGTCCCAGGGCTGGAAAGGGAGCATGGTCACACCCAAGGCATTGACTTCAGGAGTCAGCAGAGAGCAGGGCATAGGGAGAGTGCTGGCTCCAGATGCTTCTGTCCAGGGAGACGCTGGCAAGTGGCCCAGAGTCAGGGGCTTAGGAGGTTGCAAACTTCAAGCCAAGAGCTCAGTCCCTGATCCACCCCATCCCCTTCCACATTTCCCTGACTCTGCCCTTCTTTACATTGCTGGGCAGAGCACTGCCCATGTGCACCAGCCCTCCCTGCCTGTACCAGCACCACTGAGAAAGCCGTTGCCTCCCAGGTTGTGGAGAAAAACACCTTCTCAGCTGCTGGGCCATAGGCAAGTTTGCTTCGGGACCACCTGGGGAACCAGGAGCAGAAGAGGTGAACTCTTCCTCATCTGCCAGAGGCCTGCCTTGCAGGAGGCCACGTCGCCTTGCCCCAGCCATGTTGCCAAGGCATGAAGACTAAGATGCTTGCCCTGCCAAGCCCAGAGGGGATGAGCAGCCTCAGCTGGTGCCACCACAGACAGCACATCACAGAGGTGGCTCAGGGACCTTGGTAGACAGGAATGTGAGAATCTATTCAAATAGCCAGGGATCTCCGGTCCTATGTCAAGGGGCAGTGCTGATGGCTTGTCCTGCTGGCGTGCCTCTGTCCACCGGCCCTCCCCTTGCACTTCCTCATTTGTCACCTCCTAATTTGAATCCATGGGCAAATCTGGCTGCTTTTTGGGGGCTGACCGCCAACTTCTTGAGCATCTATTTGAACAGCCTTCCCTTTTGCTCCCAACCACCTTTGAGGTGAGTCCAGGTGGCAGGACAGGACCCTGTGTGACAGAGCTATCTCGTGCCCTCTCAGCCTCTTCTCTGCTTTCTTACAGCTCACCTTGCAGAGCGCCAAGTCCCGAGTGGCCTTCTTTGAAGAGCTCTAGCAGGTGATCCAGCCACCCTAGGACCTGCCACTTCTGCTCCCGGCACCGCCCGATGGACCAGACACCGAGAGAGCCATCCGTAGGGAGCTGGCTGGGGGTTTCCATGGAAGCTCCAGAAATTTCCCCAGCTGAATGAAGAGCCCAGCCCCTCTTATGTGCAATTGCCTTGAACTACAACCCTGTAGAGATTTCTCTCACGGTGTTCTAGTTCTCTGACTTGAGTCTTTGTTTTAAGAAGTGTTTGTCTTCCTTTGTCTAATGTGGGATTCCTGACTCCCACTGTCCGAGGCTCCCTGGGGTGTGTGTGTCTTGCACTCCAGAGCTGACCTCCACCAACCATCCTGGGAAGCTGTTGTAGGGAGTGGGATACTGAAGCCCTGAGAGGCCAGTGCCATCACCCCCGCTCCACCCAGGGTTCCAGAACATTCATTCCCACACGGGAGAGGACCTGGCATGCAGCGAAGTAGCCCAGCCTGGCAGAGCCCAGGCCCAGCACGACTGCCAGCTTCTCATCGTTAGGGAGCCCGCCCAGAGCTCGTGATGAGCAAGTGTTGGGTCCCCGCCAGGCACCCCAAGGCTGCGCTCTGGCTGGCAGCTGGTGGGGAATAGGCAAGGCAGCTGTGGCTGGGAGAGACTTTAGGCAGAAGCTGTGATGCAGGCTGACTGCCAGCCGAGGGGCTGGGAGGCACGCAGTGCCATGTGGGAGCTGACGGTACGGGGTACTCAGTGTCCCCCTCCAGCCACCCTAGACCAGGGTCCGAGAGGCAGGTGGGAGCCACTCACATCTTCCCCATTGCCCGGCAGCCATAGGCACTCCTGCCTGTATGGGGCTGGGGCACTGCCTGATCGTGCTGTAGTTAGCACCCGTAACCCGCTATGACCGAGGATCTGGAAGCCCTGTGGCCCTACAGGTGCGGCTTCTCACTGGCCCAGACTCCGAGCTCCACCGGCCCACTCTGCACTGCCCATCTGCTTCACCTTCCCTCCTGGCCATGTGCCAGTGGGCACAGACCACTTCCTAACCCCTTGTTGTACCCAGCCCTCACTTTGCTGTTGCCCTTGTCCCCCTTCGGGCCCTGAATTTTCTGTTCCCCAGGGGCCAGCCAGGTCCTTCTGTGCCCCTCCCAGCACAGGCTTATTGCAGGTGTCCACCCACAGGTGGCGCTCACCCAGGCCGACACAGGACCCACCTCCATACCAGGCAGAAGAAGGTCACAGAACCACCCCCAGGGCTCACTCACTCCTTGTTTGTTTGTTTGTTTGTTTGTTTTTGTTTTTGTTTTGAGATGGAGTCTCTCTCTGTTGCCCAGGCTGGCGCGCTGGCACAATGTTGGCTCTCTGCAACCTCCGCCTCCCAGGTTGGAGCAATTCTCCTGCGTCAGCCTCCGGGGTAGCTGGAACTACAGGAGTGCACTACCACATCTAGCTAATTTTTTTTTTCTTTCTTTTGAGATGGAGTCTTGCTCTGTTACTTAGGCTGGAGTGTAGTGGACTGATCTCAGCTAGCTCACTGCAACCTCCGCTTCGCGGGTTCAAGGGATTCTCCTGCCTCAGCCTCCCTAGTAGCTGGGATTACAGGCGCCCGCCACCATGCCCAGCTAATTTTTGGTATTTTTAGTAGAGATGGGGTTTCACCGTCTTAGCCAGGATGATCTCGATCTCCTGATGTCATGATCTGCCCACCTCAGCCTCCCAAAGTGCTGGGATTACAGGCGTGAGCCACCGTGCCCAGCTCTAATTTTTTGTATTTTTAATAGAGAAAGGGTTTTGCCATGTTAGCCAGGCTGGTCTCGAACTCACGCCTGGGATTACAGGCATGCACCACCACCACCGAACCCAGCCCCTTCTTGCCCTTTCTTTTCTCCATGGCTGATGCTGCTGTGACCAGCCAGGGCCCTTGAGATCCTTCCAGTTGGGCCATTATGCAAAGCAGGTGATTTGTCTTAATCAGATAAAAGACTCAGTAACTGGAGGCGCTATGGGGGCCTAGAGATTTCTGGAGAGCAGAGTTGGTCTCTGGCAATTCCATCTGGTTTTGAGAAACTGAGAAGCTCACAGAGATCCTGCCTTCTTCCCACTATCAGGCTGACCTAATGGGGTCAGGCTGCTTGGTACCTGCTTGGACCACCTTGCCCCCAGGAAACCAGCCCTGGGTGCCACCCAGCTGCTGAGGGTCTGCAGGGTGGGACTCCAGACCTGGAGCCTAAGTGTGGATGCTGTGGCCTTGTGTCCTCTTAGTCTGTCCCAGCCAGGAGCAGAAGCTTCAGGCGTTTGTAAAGTGAGGTCTGACTCTTGTGTTGTGGCTCTGTCTCCTCAGTCTTCTTCTTCTTTTTTTTTTTTTTTTTAAGATGGAGTCTTGCTCTAACGCCCAGGCTGGAATGCAGTGACGCAATCTCAGCTCACTGCAACCTCTGCCTCCCAGGTACAAAAGTCTCCTGCCTCAGCCTCCCAAGTGTGCCACCACGCCCGGCTAATTTTTGTATTTTTAGTAGAGACAGCGTTTCGCCATGTTGGCCAGACTGGTCTCAAACTCCTGACCTCAGGTGATCCGCCCACTTGGCCTCCCAAAGTGTTGGGATTACAGGTGTGAGCCACCACGCCCGGCCTCTCCTCTGTCTTAAAGCCCATCCCTGGGTTTCCACCAGGAGTTATTTTCCTCCCGACCTGTAAATTTATTCTTTAACAATGACTGCGGGCCAGAGCATAATGGTGGTTTACAAAAACTTGTGGGGCTTTGTTTCCTTCTTCAACTGCTGTGTGTACTTCTGAAGTCTGGGAAGTGCCACGTGGCCTCAAGGGAGCTGGCCGGTGTTTGAGCTGTGGCAGAAGCACCTGGGGCTCCAGCGAGCAGGCTGGGGACTGCAGGACCTCGCTCAGCCAGAAGCACTTCCCCCTCCTTCAGGCAGGAATCCGAGGTGCCTCCCCCACAGACGGAGAAGGTGGAGAGGAGGATGGGCCCCAGGTGGGTCTCAAGCCCCAGTAGCAGGAGAAAAAAAGAGATGCCTGATTTTCAGAGACTGGTGCCTGCGGCTGGGATGACTGTGTCCTTTTTAAGTGAACATTTTAGGGCCTGGCAGCTTGTCAAGTAAGGAAGTCTCAGAAGCCCATAGAGTGAAATCACCTGGCCATGGTGATTTCATCATGAGCCCTTCTGCCAGCTTTCGGGCAGAAGCCCCATGGCACTGGGACCCTTTGTGAGGCCATTGCCCAGCTCATGACATCTGCAAGGCTCCCCCGTTGGCTGGTAGCCGTGCACAGCTGTGCAGCACAGACCGCTTCATTCATCCTGATTGGGGCCCCATGTCAGCCACAGCAGTCCCCGACCTGTGTTGTCCACCCCATTGTTCATGTACCTGCCAGGCCCTGCTGGACAGACCCCGTGGCATCACATAACACTTAATGAGTGGCTGCATCTTGTAATTTTGGGGACAGGTTTCTCTCTCTCCCTCTCTTTTTCAAAAGCCCAGGGGCTGACAACCAGCCTCAGTGACTGTGTTCCTCACCGACAGGGCGGGGCCTCGCCACCCCTGGAGGGAGCAGCCTTGGCAGGGAGCCAGCCTGGCCCAGTGGCCCTGGGGCCAAACCCGCCCTCCAGGGCTTTCAGGGAAGCGCCATCCATTTTCAAACTGTCAAACGTCACTTCTTTCACTGCCTCCCGTCAGGGCTAGACCATGAAAGGCTATTTTCTATTCTGGGGAACGATTGTAATTTAAATGATTGTTTTAATAAAAATTCTAAGCTGGAAAATATTTGCCTTGGGCTTCCTCAGTTTGCCTGTTGCTCAGGCCATTGAGGGGTCAAGCAAGCGGCTGGGTGGGGGCGGCCGTCTCATGGTTCTGTGGAAAAATGAGCCCTCTGCTGTACCTGACTGCCCGAGCCTTCAACTCTGACCCCTTGTCTTTGGTGGCAAATGAATCAACCCCTTTTGGCTGGGTGTAGTGGCTCACGCCTGTAATCCCAGCACTTTGGGAGGCCAAGGTGGGCGGATCACAAGGTCAGGGGTTTGAGACCAGCCTGGCCAATATGGTGAAACCCCGTCTCTACTAAAAATACAAAACTTTAGCTGGGTGTGATGGCTCATGCCTGTAGTCTCAGTTACTCGGGAAGCTGAGACAGGAGAATCGCTTGAACACAGGAGGCAGAGGTTGCAGTGAGCTGAGATCGTGCCATTGCACTCTAGTCTGGGCAACAAGAGCGAAACTCCGTCTCAAAAAAAAAACCAAAAATCATCTCCTTCCACAGTGCCCCTAATGATACCTTCTCCAGGGAACTCCCTCCCTCTTTCTGGGGTAACTTGGCGAGGGCCCTGCATGGTGTCCCAGCACCTCCATTTCCTCTCCGTGGTCCCTGCCCATCCCTGATTTCAGACCAGAAAACTAAGGAGCTGGACTGGGCAATCCTTCCAGACATTTCCACTTTCGGCATTCCAGGCTCTGGGGGTTCAGGCAGAGCCCCTGGGGCCCAGGTGCTGTCTGCAGAGTAAATGGGACGCAGTTGCTGTCAGGCTACACGACATTTGCACTTCACGTTGGAAATCACCACTGCAGAGTTTCTGGTTTTGGTTTTGTTTCCATTTTCTCAATCAACAAAAGTCCTTTATGAAGACCAAAACTTCTATAGGATAACTCCGTCCCGAAGTACTGTGGCCCCAGCCAGAGATTCAGATGGCACGGTGTGGCTGCCAGGACTTCTGAGGGACAAGTTCCACATGCTTGTCAGGTTTCCATTGCACAAGCCAGCGGGGAAGAGAGCCGATCAAAATACACAAGATCTTTCCAAAATGTTGGAGTTCACTGTCTTGGTTTTTTTAAGAAAGATGTTTAAAGGAGATAGACTAGAGAATATAAAAAGTGTGTAACAATTTGTTGTTAGCTTTGAATATATAGACTTGGTCAACCTGGGCCACATAGAAAGACCCCATCTCTACAAAAAAATTAAAAACTTAGCCATGTGTGGTGGCTGCATCTGTAGGCCCAGCTCTTTGGGAGGCTGAGGTGGGAGGATCACTTGAACCTGGGACTGTGAGGCCGTGGTGAGCCGAGATCATGCCACTGCACTCCAGCCTGGGTGATGGAGTGAGACTGTCTCAAAAAAAGAAGAAGAAAAAATTGTGACAGAGTGAGGCCGTATTAAAAAAAATTGGTAACTAATTAGATTTTTTGTTAGATGAATAATATAAACTCATTTCTCAAATGTAGATTGTTATTTTTAGTGATTGGGAGCAGTTTGATTTCCTATGTAGTCTGAGCCAAAGAAAGCAC